TATGTATAGAAGGTAACAAGAAAGTTTTTAATGGCTACTTTGCGGTTGGTTCAGGGTATTCCCCAGTCGGGCATACCCATCTGAGGACACTCGGTGTCTTTGACATGCACAAATTTCAAGTGTTGGGTCGTGCGATTTTGATTGGTTGCTTTTTTTTTTTTTTTTTGGGGGGGGGGGGGGGGGGGGCACACATTTCATCGTAGCGCTAGTCAAGTTTGATTGGAATGTTAAGTGAAGCGTTTTTTCACGTGGCATCAACTGAGAACAAAATTTATTCAACCACAGTTAAAGTTTTAGCTCCATGAATTGAGTGGTTGCTGGGACACAAAACTGAACCAGTGTTGAACCAGTTCATTTGAAGCTGAAGGAAATTTTGTGGCTGATATCTGTGATTAATAAAAAAAAATATATAATATATAATATAAATATAATATATATTTGTAGTACCTAATTGTTCACATTTAAAAACAAAACTTTACCATAATTAATCCAGTTCATTTCGTGCGGAACTAAAGAATATAACCAACTTGTCGAAAGAGGTATTTGTCATCGACTACATTATACACAAAACTAGTTCGTAAATTGACCAGTAAAGCTCGTATAAGTCCTGACTCATAAAACTGAACCAGTTCATTTGAAGCGGAATGAAATTGTTTTGTTTGTAGCTCATATTGATCACTGTGGTGTTCGTAAATTTGGAGAACATAAGCAATTCACATTTTAAATTCGAACATGTGCTTGAGTAGTTACTGACAAACTGAACTGAATCAGTGCTGAACCGGTTCATTAAGTGCGCAACTAGAGAATATTAACTGCTTGTCAATTGTATTTGACATTGACTTCATTTGACACAAAACTAGTTCTCAAATTGAGCTTAAAGGCTCGAATATTTGCTGACTCACAACGCTGAACCACTGTTGAACCAGTTCACTTGAGGTTCCATTAGAGATTTTTGGCTGTTTATCAGATAATTGTAACATAACTTGAGACGTGCAGTTCCAAAAAACTTGGACCGGGCAAGGCCGGAAAATAGCAGCTAGTAAAAGAAAATAATGGAAATGGGCTCCATCAACATAGCTTTTATACTAAAGTTGGGCATTATAACTTTGCGGTTCAACTGTAAAAGACTCGATGAATTATTAAACAACTGCCAAAGCGTTTTGGCCAAAATTTATGAAGAGCTCGTTGTTGGGACATGTTCAAGGACATATTTAAAATAATATGTACGCACAACAGAATACAATATGTCAGCGTAGTTTTCAACTTGCGAAAGTTTTGTCGAGACTCGTTTTAGAAATTGACACAAAATAGCTAAAACTTGAGTGCAGATGACACAAGTTTCTGTCAGTTTCAATTGTTTGCTGCCTGTCGCCTGTCGCCCGTCACAATGTCTGGGGATGGTTTAGGGCTGTTTTAGGTATTACGAGGGAGGAATGGGGCCAGCGGGGGCTGGCAGCGTGGCATAATCACTTGGGATACATAATGCGAACATATATAATTCCTCGTACCTGCAGCATGCGTCTTAAGATTTTGTCAATTTGCTTATGCGCGACAAATCGCATGAGCCTAGCCATCAACTCGCAACTGCCACACGGCGGTGAGGCAGAGACCAGGAGGCGGGCTGTGGGGTCCGGGGCCCGGGGGGTGGTGGAAAACTTTCAGCTGGCAGCTGTTGCGGGCGCTCTTGCGGCTTTTGCTTTGTGCCACTTGCCTGGTGCCTCGTAATGAAGTGCTAAATTATGCTAAATGTGTGCGGCAAAATGTGATTTGAGCCATGTAAAAGTGGTGGCGGGGCTGGGATGGGGAGGGATCCTTTTTTGGCAGAAGCGAAGCAAAGAAAAGGGGCTGCGGCCAAGACTCATTCAAGGGTTAATCAATAATTCTGCAGTGAATTCAATTCTTAATGATTCGAAAGGACTTGCTGTTATATAAAGCAAATTACCTTCAACTAAATTGACTTTCATGTGCACAACAACAGAGAGTAAAGTGTGTGTGTGTGTGTGTGCGCGCTTTGGGGCGGTTAAGGAACTCGGCAGGAAATGTGGATGTTGTTGCCAAGGAGGGGAATGCTGGGCTTGTTGAGCGCTTGAACAAATTTTGTATGCGTCATTGCTTCAATTACAGCAGCAGCGACAACAATAAGCAACAGATTTATGATTTCTCTAGCTGAAACCTAATGCCAACACCCCCACTCACAGCCACACTCACACCCACACCTACACCCACACACACCCCTGAGTGGAGGGACGTCGAAGCACCTAAATGTATGCAAAGTGAGCTAGAACGTTCGCTGCAGCCGGAAATTGGTCGCTTCCGTCGCCGAGAAGCCCAAACGGAGACCCATCCCCATGCCACCTTCCCATTCTTCTGATGAAATTCCCCCTTTGCACATAACAGAGGCCGCACAAGTCGGGGGATTGAGTACGTGCGCAGTGAGAGAAATCTGCGTGTGTCTTAGTGCAATGCCAAAGTTAAAGTGTCAAAGTCTATATCAAAGTCTAAGGTCTGAGTCTAATTGTAACTCTAGCTCTAAGCCTAAGTTAAAGCCTAACTCCAAGTCTAAGTCTAGGTCTAACTCTGAGTCTAAGTCTAAGTCAAAGTGAAAGTCTATGTCTAAGTCTAAGTCTTATTTTAACTCTAAGCCGAAGTCTAAATCAAAGTCTAAGTCGAAGCCGAAGTCTAACTCTAACTCTAACTCTAACTCTAACTCTAACTCTAACTCTAACTCTAACTCTAACTCTAACTCTAACTCTAACTCTAACTCTAACTCTAACTCTAACTCTAACTCTAACGCTAACTCTAAGTATAAGTCTAGGTCTAACTCTAGGCTAACTCTAACTGTAAGTCTAACTCAGATCTAACTCTAAGTCTAACTCTAACTGTAAGTCTGACCCAACTCTAAGTCTAAATCTAAGTTTAAGTCTAAGTTTATGTCTAAATTGATTCTATGAAGCTACAAATTGATTACTTAACTTTCGCTCAGTGAAGGGCCGGGCTAAGTGAATGAAAGTGAAACTTTAATTGAAACGAACGTTTGGTGCGCCTGCTTTTTTTCGGGGTTAAGTGATTGATTATGGCTTGTTTGCTGCCTGGCGAATACACACACAGTCAGCCACAGTCACACACAGTCACACAAACACACCTACACTCCCACACACTCACACAGACACACAAACACACCTACACTCACACATACAAACAGACGACACAGACGACACATAAATTTGATTCCAATGCTGTTTCTTCTTGCTGCTGGTCTTGTTGTTACTGTTGCCTTACTGGGCGTGGCAAAGGGCATATGAAAAATTGACTAACTGGCTAACTGAGTGACGGGCATGGGCACGGGAAAAAGCAGGGGCAGGGGCAGGGGCACGGCCAGGGGATGGTGATGATGAAGAACAGGGGCGCGGAGAATTGGCTGAGGCAACGGCGCCAACATTGACAATGGCTCCGGCCACAATTCATTCAGCCTCAAATATTTACCACAATAGAAAACGAGCCGCGCGCGAAATCGAATCAATAATTTAATGCAGGTGACGCGTCCCACTTACCCCTCGCGTCAACGTGCCCGCACGCCAAACACTTGTCAATGGGCATATTTGGGAAAGGGGGAATGTTGCGCGGGGGGGCGAATTCGGTTGCTTCTTTTGTCATTGTGGCCATTGGCGGCGTTAACGGTACGTTGCCATCCATAATAATGCCGGCCATGTGTTTGGGCCTTGTTTGCAGCTTGTTAGGGCCCTTGAAAACGCGTGGACACCAGAACTGGAGCTATTGAAGTCGCCGGGAGGGTGGCGGGCTTTTGAGGCAGGGGCTTTAAGGCCGATTTTCGGGGAATCGCAATTAGTTTCGATCCGCTGAATATGCGAACTGTATTTGTTATTCAACTAGCTGCTACTAATTGTTCCATTTCCATTCGTTTCGCATTTTTTGTTTCAAATGCCTCATTTGTCGGCTTAAGGCTGCCGTCGCATTCAATTTGTTGTGCAGCACATTTTTTTTTAAAGTCGTACTCATAACTTGAAGAGAATTTGTAGAAATGAGCTTGAAAGCTCATGCTGTTTCATATTTCATCGTTTCCTAGTTAAGACAAGGCCATAGGCTGCAAGTATTCAAGCTGTTCCATTTTCATTTCGTTCCTACAATTATTTATTGTATATTGCACACGTGCTGTTCCATTTTCACTCGTTTTCTTGTGCTGCTGCTGTTCCACTCCCATTTCGTTTCATTCTTTATTTTATTCTTCCTAATGATCCAGATATCATAGTTGCCAAGTATCTCTGTACTATTTTTTAATTTGAAGTATTCGACAGACACAGCTCTCCGTCATGAAACATCAAGGCGGAACTAGTCAAACAATTCAATGGAAGGTATTTTGCCCACTAAGTAATTGCATGTGTAAAAAATTCAATACCCATTAGAATTTGTCTCAATGGCGCATAGGAGAGTTGTCCAAGCGTGAGGCATAATATTGTTCGTTCTTATGGCCGATCGAACGTCAGAGCCGATATTTATCGATAACAGAAGATATCGATTTTAGGCGATTGACTCTGTGACTCATCAATAGGCGACCTGCTAGATATTACGACTCTGGACTTTGAAAAATGAAATTGTTAATTTGGATTTTCATCCTATTGAGAACGAGAACGAGAAATTTGAATGAGGGTCTTTTGCCGAAACAAATTAATCAATAAATTGTTTCTGTCGTAACTTATCGGAAGTTGATAACGTTAATGCAAAAGTCATCAATAGTTTCTTATTTGGGCTTGATTTTTTGACGAAAGCTTAAGCTTAAGAAAATTATCGCATATCCATTGTGTAGGGTATCTGCTCGTGTACACTCCCGCGAGCAGCATTGTTACTTTTTTTATGAGTTATCATATTGTTGTCTAAGGAAGAGGCATATTTGTTGCAGTTGTTGTTAACAATTGGAGCTAATTGTTTGGAGCTTGAGTTGATTTTGCGGCCCGTATCTATCATAAGCGATTCGCAATTGTGCAATGAAGGTGTTCAAGCTGTCGGTATGGTTTAAGTTATTGGCCTGGTTTCTGCTTGCCGCCTTTGGCATCAAGCTGCTGTCGCTGATGAATCGAACCGAAAGGATAAGAAGCAGCCCAGTCAGGCACGCAGCGAAATTGATTGGCGCAGGTGCTGTGTATGGAGCACCACCTGGTAAGTGGCTGGAAACCATTTGAGGCCGATTGTTCACTAAATCTCTCAGCGCCGCCGCCGCCGCCGCCGCCGCCGCCGGAGCACAGACCGAAGGCAACGAGGACAACGAAGCCCATAAACGAGCCACTGGAATTGGAGCAGCTGCTGCGCGCGAATTCCGCTCGCAATTGGTCGCTCAATGACAACTGTGCGCCATATCCGCGCTTCGAGGATCTGCACATTGAGAATCTGTACTATCAGTACACCAGGGGCGGAAATGTCAGCTATTATTTAATGAGCGCCTACTACGATCGCCGGCTGGCCATGGATACGACGCCGAGCGTCGTGCTGCTGGGCATGATTAGCAGCCTTTCGGGACCCTTTGAGCGTGCATTTTGCCAGCTGTGGTATGAGCAAAGCGCCTGGCCGGAGCTGGTGGATATGGAGCCTCACGTGTTTGGTTGGTTCGATAGCTGGGGCTTTGGACCGGATCATGTGTATCCAGTGCTGTTGACCTGCCCGCTGGTGGGCACCGCCCGAGAACATCGTGTGCCCCAGCTGGTGTCCTTGGTCTTTGGGGATCGTTGCGCGCGGCCGTGCAACGCGCTCCGTGTGCACTATGAGGCGCCACAGCGTCGACGTGCCACACGTTTCGGTGTCTGCGTCAAGGATTTGCAATTTCCCACCGTGGACATGTCTGAGCGTTTCGTGGAATGGCTGGAGCTGATGCGTCTGCTGGGCGCCGAACGCGTGATCGCCTACGATTTGGGCGGCCAAACACTGTTGCCAAACACAATGCGCACACTGAAGCACTATGCGGAGCAGGATGGTCTGCTCCAGCTGCTTCCGTTCCGGCTGCTCGAGGGCCATCCAAAGCCGGCGGCCAATTACTGGCTGAGCAAGCGGCTAAACGAGGTGCTCATGTACAACGATTGCCTCTATCGGAATATGTACGAGTTTGACTATTTGGCTGTCATGGACGTGGATGAGGTAATCATGCCGCTGGGCAAGCTGCACAACTGGACGGCGCTGGTGGAGCTGTTAGATACAAACAACAGCAGGAACAGCAACAGCAAAAGCGAGAGCGCTGAAAACTGTTTTGCCAAATGCAGTCTGTGCTTTCGCAATGTCTACTTCTCCAGGGAGCTGCCGGAGGATGGGACGCCTCCAGCTAGCTTCTATATGCTGCGCCATGTGCAACGCGTGGCAGAGCATTTGGATGCGAATTCCGCCATCAAGTGTCTGCATGCCACTGCCTATGTGACCATGGTGCACAATCATTTTCCGCTAGGCTGGCGGGGGGCGTGCGGCCCCCACGATGTGTCCGCCGCCATTGGCCAGATGCAGCACTATCGGGAGCCAGATATAAAGCAGACGCTCAAAGAGCCGCCGCCGGTGCGCGACGATAACATTTGGCGTTTCAAGGAACAGCTGATAAGCAAAGCCCTTGTCGTGCATCGACAGCTGGGCTGGTCGCTGCCGTAGCACCTGCCTTCCCATTGCCGACAACAAATAAAACTTAACGAACTTTGTTTAAATTTCCTTGACATACCCTGCACACGTTGCGTGAGCCAAACCGGGTAGATGGATCAATTATTCATTAGTACATATGTATATGCATTTGCTGGTGCCTTTGGATGTTAGATTTATTGATAAATCGATAAGTATCGATTGACAAGCAAGGGCCTGCCTGCCTGAAATGTGGGTTCTCGTGTTAACGTTCTTTCTGCAATAACAAAACCGATAAATATCGATTTCCAAGCAAGAGTCATAACAAAGATCAGCTAGAAATATAGGCTATCGTATAAAATATGTTATCGATTATTTTCCGATAGCAAAATTGGTAAATATCGATTTCCAAGCGAGTCAGTTTTATCGCGTTGATAACGGTAAATAAATGTGATAAACAAGTTCAGCTAGAAATATCGTATAATATCGTTTATTTTTCGATAATATCATCGATAAATATCGATTTTCAACAACAACATATGAGCACTCTCGGCAATCCGTGCCCTCTAATACTTGAGTAAAGTATGCATTATATTAAATTTTGACTCCCATAACTGGAAAACAAGAAATATTATTTGTTCTGGTCTAGACCTACTTTTTGGTATAAACATAATTATATAATTATTAAAGAATTCGATTTTGGAATTGTATGTAAAGGCAGTTCTTGGCTGTTTGTAGGGTATCTCGTAGTCAGGCACGCTCGCCGAGGCTAGACTTTGACTTGCTTTATCTGCCATACAATTCTGTCACCTTACGTTCGAGAGCGTTAAAGTAAAATTTGTTATTATTGATTTTATTTTAATTGCTTTCGCCTTTAATAGTCGTCGGCAGCAATGTGTTTGCCTTCGTGCTACGTGCTGCATAATCGAACACGAGCCACTTGCCCCGCGGCGTGGCAAGATTCTACCTGCAAAATCGGCAACTGTTTCTGTCATGTCAGCAGTGACAATAATTACAAAAACACACACACTCACATTTTCCGATAAGCGTGCCGGGCACGAGGCTGGCGGGGGCGTGTTAGAGGTAAACACCTGTACCGAAACTAGACTGAAAACATTTTGAATTTCATGTCTTGTTTAATTTTAAAATTAAAACAATTAGTAAGTCAAAACCTTGCAATTTAACTGTGGCAACAGCTTAAACAACATGTCGCAGCTGTATTTGTATACCCTAGCGCGGGCTGTTCAGTTCAGGGTATCCCCTAATCGGGAATTCCCGATTAGAGACTCTTACTTGTTGTTAGTTGAAGTTCTGAAGAAGTCACCAGAGTTTCTATGAAACTGGGCTTAAGAGAATGAAAGCTTTTAAAACAGCAAGAATCTCTACATATAAAACTATCTGTCCTGACTGAAAGCTGATGGGAAATTCCACCCGTAGGCGTGGAACTAAACGGGGCAAACGCTTGTGCTGGGAAAATCCACCTCTAATCGGCTAAAACGGCTGTGTGCAACTTTTTACTTTATCATCCGATTGCCTTCAAACTCATTTTCAAAGAACTTTGTGAATACTCATTTGTGTTTCAGACGTTTCGTTAAATCCACTGGCCTAAATGGAATAAGCAGGTTATATTTTTCCTTAGAGTTTCAGATCATGATACCAAAATGGGCGGATAATGTTGTTTCCAACTTTAAGTTCTTATGTACTTCAAATTGTTAAAAGATTCAATTAATTCCACATTAAATATCATTTAGTTCGAAATTAATAAGTATTTGCTGAAAGTATGCTGGAAGTTTATCGAAGGGTTTGGCCTAGATATTTAATCGTGGATAAGTTCGTATTATTTAGCTAGTGGAATTAACAACCTCGATATCTGATAGATGCTTTAGCTTTTTACTCTGTGCAGACTTCAGTCGCAATGCCAAAAACAAAATAATAAATATATTTGGCTCGCGCTGCAATTTCTGGCACTGAAATCTGAGTATTGCGCATACGCAGCGTGGACCAAAACCGCATTGATATTGGAGTTATGCTCGTTAGCATTTAAAAATCCATTATTATGCTAAAAATAATTGCAATTTCAACAGAAATAATTAATTAAGGCTACATTCAAATGGGCTCGGATTACAGAAATGCATTTATTCAATCAATATTCAAATTCTGATGCAAAAATGTTTTTACTCGCAAATTATCAGTCAAATGTGATGTGAATATAATATGTTTGTTATTGAATATTAAAATTAGAGTTTTCTTAGAGTGCATTATCAATTCATGGATTAATGTACATGCACACAGCTTTCGTATTTATGTGCGCCAGCTAAAATTAATTAAAATATTCTGTCAAAGAGATTGAATAGATTTTGCGTGCGCTGAGCGGATAAATTTGTAATTCGGAAAAGCTGACCGCTGGCGCCCGGAAAATGCAATCAACATGCAGCACAATGCAGAAGTTTTCGGTTAGCTATCCCCATCTTGGCCATGGTCTTGGCCCGGCCAGCAGCTGATACGGCCAGTGGCAGGCAGACAATGCCTGGCAATTAATTAATTGCTGGCAGTGCAGGCAAAGCCTGTTTCATAAATTAATATGAAAACTCGAAGTGGGAAAATCTGCGCGCAATATTAAAATCATTTTTCATGAAAAGCCGCGTTTTGTGTCGCAAATAATGAGATGAGATGCGTGCCAGGATATATTAAAATATTAAAATAGCCGCAGAGAGTAGCAACTGCGCTCGTGGGGGAAGGGAACGGGTGGCGGCGGGGGGCGCGGCACTGTTGTTGTTCTCGTTCATGTTGTTGTTGTTGTTCTTGTTGTCGCGACCCGCTGAGCAGAAGGTAGCAAAAGAAGCGGCGCTAACAAATAGAACGCACAGCTGACAAATGGATGGACGCGACAGCCAAATAATTTATATTTCAATTTTGGCGTGTCTTTGCTTATAATACCCTGTAAATGAATAAGCAATGCATATGCACTACAGTTGCCCAACGCTTTTGATGCAATTGAAGCTGTCACAGCTGCTGTGAATTCGGAATCAAGTCCGCAGGAACAGGAAGATCAAAAAAACTTGCTACAATCTAAATTGGTTTTAAATGAAATACTTTGTGAATGTTCGAAATGGCCCCAATATATAGGTTTATAACCTGGTATTCTGGTATTTTAAAATATTTCGAACTGATTTCAACTAATTGATAATCGAAATTTTTTAAGCATTTTGGTGAAAATCGCTTGAAAATGGTGACATATATGCATATCCATTGCGCTCCTAATCTTCTTCTTCCAATCAAATCTGCTTCTCTTCTAATTTATTAATTTTTTTTTTCTAGCTCTTTCAGTTGAGTATATGATATGCCCATCATAAGAAGAATCTTTCGAAAGTTTCGGAAATAAGGTAAGAATTCAGCTCTACAAAATTTTTACAAAAAAGGCTCTGCGAGGGTATTTTAATTTCGGCATGCCGAATTTGGCTACACTGTCTTGATTTTGTTTTATTTTGTTTTTGCCGTGCTAAGTTGCTGTACCTTCCTTTGAATTTATTATGGCAAAAGGAAAGCGGGGCGTGGCATCAAAACAATCGCTAAATGGCAAAGTGACAGGCTTGCAAGCAGGTGTTGGGAAGGGGGGTGAGGCCATCGCCCGAAGGTAGTTTGTTCCAACGCAATTATTTAGCTAATAATGCATATTAAAATGTAAATGCCTTGCCAGGTAAGGAGACAGGCAGCCCAATTTAATACTACATAAAACGTGCGATAAAGCCACAGTAAACGAAATTTATGATTAACTCATTTTGCATCGAAGTTACATACACGACCTATTTTCAAAAAAAAAAAGAAGATATAAATGTATATGTAAACTATTTCGAAATGTTTGTAGATTAATTTCTGCAATCTTAAGCCAAAAGCTGCAAGCGAACCAGTTTTCTGTTTCAACTCCAATTTTTATACCCTGAACCCATTAAAAAAAGGTATAAGGGTATATTGTATTTGTGCAAAATCCAAATGTATTTAGGCAGAAGGAAGCATCTTCGACCCCATAAAGTATATATATTCTTGATCAGCATCAACAGCCGAGTCGATTTAGCCATGTCCGTCTGTCTGTCCATCCGTCCGTCCGTATGTATAAACGCAAGGATCTCAGAACCTATAAGAGCTAGAGACTTGAAATTGATATGTAGATGCTCCTAGTTCCCGCGCAGATCGAGTTTGTTTCCGATAATCGATAACTTATTCCGTTTTCAAGCAATCGATATATATCGAGATCGATATCCTGTTTTTTGGGCAATTTTGGTAAATAATAAGAGCTAGAGTCACCAAACTTGACATATAGCTTCTAAAATAGAATATATATATGCATTTGATGTTGGAAGAGGAAGGGTTCAGGGTATCCCCTAGTCGGGAGCTCATGACTAGAACCTCTTACTTGTTGAACTTGTTTTGGTTCAATACTTGGCTTATCCTTTCTTTTCAACATGTTTATTATTGAATTCAATTTTTCGTTTATAGCTGCCCGTTCTACTGAAAATATCGCATATCGTAGATATTTTCATTTGGAAATTGCGGGCTAAATTTGATTTTTACCCAATTTGGTTTGGTTGAGGGTTCGGTTCATAGCATAAAATTTAGGAGTATTTAGGAGTATGCATATTTAGGAGTATTCAGAGCTGGAGTATCCAGAGCCAAGCTCTTCTGACCTAAATAATCTTGAATATATTATGACATATAGTTTATATATATTTAGACATGCTGATTTTGTCGTCGATTTAATTGCTAAATGGAATTATATATATTGGGATTTGTATTGTTGGGTATGTGGTTTGCACATGATGTTATTATTTGGCCGGGCTCTAGTTCCATTTGGAGCTTCGTTTGACAGCTTAATTCCCATGCGGACTGCGGACTGTGGACTGTGGCTGTGCTACTTGATCCGCACCTCATTGCCAGATATGGCTCGTCTGGCTGCTAATGGGCCAAGTTAGGCGTATCTTGGCAGCAGTCACGCGCCCAATTGCCATCGCGTATAAGCCAAGACAGGGCGCGGCGGCTGGCCGACTTCTGAACTGGCTTTTGAACTTGGACTTGGACTTGGCCTTAGTTTTATGCTGGGGGTTTTTCGTATAGAGTTTCATAAATTTAATTGTCACGTACACACATGCTTCTTCCTCTCTCGTTCGCTCTTTCTATCCATCTGTGTGTGTGTGTGTGTGTGTGTGTGTGTGTGTGTGTGTCTGTGTGTGTGTCTGGGGTGTGTATCTATTTGACAGAGGGCCGAGGCGGCTTATAATACGTGTTTATAACTGTGGCCCGCGATTGGGCCATAAACGTGCTGTGTTCCCCGCCGTTTACGTGGCGTATGCGTATTTATTTGGATCAGCATTCTAAATGATTTATTTGCTGCATAATTTCATCTATTTTTATGTGCACTGGCATTTTGCTCCTTGTTGTTTTCGCTGACCATGCGGAATGGTCTAAATTTGTCTTTCATTGCAGGCTTTCGGCCCAAAGGTTTGAGCCATTAACACTAAGAGATGTGCCCTGTTTACAAATTGAATTCCTTTTTAAACACTAAATAAATTCAATTTAATAAAAAATAACTCAACTAGTTGGCAAAGAATTACAAAGGCACAAACTGTTTGTTAGTGAATTGTTGAATTGAACATTTTTGTATGCTAAATAGTTCATTAAGATCGGACTTTTAGGTCCGATGCTATTCAATAGCTCGTTTTTCAAAGCCTGGAGCAAAGAAGAAGCACGGCCGCAGCGTAGAGTGTGTGTGTGCATGTGTAGAAGGAAGGCAGAATGTTTGTGAAGGTGGCTTGGTGGGTGGTCAGGGTACACTAGGGTATCTGCTAGTCGGGCACGCGCGACTTTAGCATTCTTAGTAGTTTGTTGTTGCTGTAGTCGTTTTATGGATAACAGGGTATAAAAGCACAGTTAAAGAGCTACATTGTTGTTGTTGCTCAGTTTTTATGAGTGTTGCGTACATTTTGCTGTTGCGTGGGCTGCGGCTCGCTGTTGGGGCATGGATATGGGTATGGGTATGGGTATTATGCTAGCCGCGTGGCAAGCAACAAGAGTTTGCTTTATCATTTTTGTTGACAATGCATGCGTACTGCATTTGCTCGAGTGCGTGTGTGCGCGTGTGTGTGTGTGCGCGTGTGTGTGTGGGGAGCGTGTGATTTGCAGTTGTCAGTTGCTCGCTTTTGGCACTGAAGTGCAGAACACAAATATGTCAGTCAGTTCTCTAAGCAGAATAGCACTCGCACTTGAATGTGACACGCATCAAATCACTTCACACGAGCGCACTTAACGCCGTGCCCCACAGCCACGCCCCAGTGGCAAGTTGAGGGTTGTACGCTCAAATAGGAATGCAATGAATTAGAGATGCAAGCGATGGAGAGAAAAACATAAAACGAATGGGTGAAAGCATACAATGCCACCAGCTGAGAAGGACACATAACGATCAATCATAGAAACGGACAAGCGAAGAAGTAGATTTTAAAAAGAAGCAGAAAAAGCAAAAAATAGAGAAACACTAGACATTTTTTTTTGGTAGTCATTGCAAAAGCTTTTCTGTTTGTTTCCGTTTAAGTATAAAGTGTATAACATATATGATGCTACGGATTTGGATTGTTTAATGAGCTTCAAAGAGTCTTCTTAAATGCTTCTTCTCCTAAATGTAGCGGAGACAAGCTTTAAAAGCACATGCATACTAATTCAGGCTATAAGTTACTAAAAGAGCTTTCAAAGCACATGACAGCTGAATGTTTATATGACAAGCTTTCAAAGCACATTAAAGCTTGAATAGAGATTGCTTGCAATATAATGACAAGTTTCGCTCTTGGAAGCTACCTATCTCTAGCTCTATCAAGAGATATTGCTATTTAGCTCATTTGTTGGGTATTCTTTATGAAGGTTGCAGGCGTAAAATCGGATTTTAAGCAACAAAAACATATTGTGCCATAAAAAGTTGTTAAGCCATACTCATTTGTGTGTGTGCCTCCATAAATAAAATGAAAAGGCTTTTAAAGTTGGCGCCCAGCAACTAGCGAACGCCACCCATCCAAACATGGGCTGAAAGAGGCCACCGTTGCAATTAATCGGATTATTATTATTTTTATGGATATTTACGTCGGCGTTGAGTTGTATGCCTGTGTGCGGTGAAAATCTCTGTTTACTTAAACTACCCATCTATTAATGCTCGGAGGCGTAAAGGCTTATTTCGCATGGAATTGTATAATTGAAACGCATGGCAAACGAACTGAAAGGCGGCTCAGCTGCGCTTGGAGAGACCAAAAGTTTCGTAATAAACGAAACAAAAAAAATGCATTTAATAAACATCTAGCAGCAGGCAGGCAGGCGGGCAGTTCATCCATATATGAAGGCTATTAAATTGCAGATGTAAATACGAGCACGCATACCCTGTGAAAAATGTGAATGGTATCCAATATGGTTATTCTCGTATTTTTGAGCAATTACAGGGTATCTGTGCGTCCCAAGCGCGTTCTTAAGCTGAAACGTTGATTTGTGCGCTTTAACCCTTTTAATTAAATAGGCTGCAAGCACACCCCCTCCCACACACGCACACACACACACGCACACGCACGCACATTTTTATTATTCTTCTCAAATATGAAAGGAAATAAAGTAATATGAAAACTGAATTGCAAGTTTTTGTCAGCGGAAAAATGGCGGCTTCTATTTCCATCTCGCTCTCTGTAAATATCTGCTCTGTCTTCCTGTGTGTGCGTGTGTGTGTGTGCCTGCATGTCTGTGTGTGTGTGTGCGTGCTACACGAAATATGTTTGAACAACTTTATTGCGCAAAATGCCAAACATTCTTCAACTTGTGGACTTGCAAGCGCTTTTCTATGCCTGCCCCTTTCTCAAGCAGTGCAAATATGTGTGTGTGTGCGTGTGTGTGTGTGTATATTGCTAGGCGCGCAAATCTCATTTGAATTATAATGATGGCGCCGGCAGCTTCATACACACACACACACAAGCACACACACACACACATATATATATGCATGGGTATTTTATTACAGCTTTAAAAAAGGTGACTTTTAAATTCCCTTTTCTTCAAAGGCAGCTGATTGATTCTATTGTTTGCCCTCGCAATGCTAATTAAGTACTATAATTGCGTTCATGTTATCAATTCTTTTTAACAGCTATGGCGCTCTCGTACTAACAGTTAGCTCTTATGTTGGCTCGCTGTTCTCCTAACTTTTTAATATAACATAATAAAGTATATTGCGGTTACATTGATATTTGGTTTGAATGTAAACTTAAATATGCTAATTGTCAATTGAAACATCTATCCGAATATCAGAATATATATAGTACTTAAAATAGATTTCAAAACTTAACATTCGGCATTAATGTTGCTGTCAAGCTTAACAGTCACTATAGCACATTGTCAAACTTGCTTGTCAGGCAATAGTGTTGAAAAATGTAGTAATGTGGTTGTAAAGTTGCAGTCAGAGTTGTAAAGCACCAAAAGTTATAAACCTTATTTTGCTTAAACTGTTTACTTTCATTTAAATTTCTGCTAACCGTTAATTTAACTGCTCGTCAATTGTGTTTTCGTTTTCTTTAGATAAGTTGGCTTGCAAAATTTAGTTTATCTAACTGTTAACAAGTTGACAAGAGGTTTGTGTAATAGTGCTGCCACCTGGCAGGATATTGTAAAAGCATAAAAAGTAAAATTAATTCAAATTGACCTCGTGCTGCTTTGCTTGCGAACATTTTTTGACAAGGGAAATTATGAGAATGAAACGCAATTAAAGCCCCTGTGAGCTAACATGAACTTTGATCTGGCGTTGGCAGGCCTACACGCATTTTTGACAAGTAGCATAGATGGCGCAATGTAACACAATTTAACCGCATGTCAACTAACATAAACTTTGTGAACTGTAGCCAAGAGCAACACAAAGACCACAACGCCCGAGCACATGTGTACAGGGTATGGGTTAAAACAGTATGTGGCGCATATGCGAAGGGCAAGGCAGGGTAGGTTGGAAGCAGTGGGGCTGTGTAAGGCGGCATAAGGGTGCGGGTGCCAAAGTGATGCCTGCTTTGTTAGCTACATTTGGTCCTGGCTCTTGGCTCTTTGCTCTTGGCTCTCGGCGCTGGCTCCGACTCCGGAGCAGTGGTTTTGCCTGCTGCTGTTGTAGATGCTGGGCACCATTTGGTATTTACAGGCGAGAGGAGAAGGAGAACCAAAAGAACGTTGGCTAGCGCGAGGGCGTGGAGGGTGGGGGCGGCGCGGGGCGTGGCGCGACTGAAAATAAAGAAGACAAGTGACTACATACCTGAACAAGCTTGCGGCGGCAGTGGAAATATTAACGTCGTTGAGCTCTTGCGCCTGGCGACCGCACAGCCCAAAGATTGTGGCTTAAAGCTCCGCAGCTGTTGCATAAAATCGGAGCACTCCATTAGGGCCACGTCAGCGAAATGCAGATCACACAGTATTTGGTTCTGTTGGGGAGAAAGCACAGAAAAGCACAGTCAGAGAGATGGATAGTGTGGGAGAGAGTCGGGTAGACTGTGAGTTAGGGGTTAAAGCTACGTCTGTAAAAGTTTTTTTTTTGTTTGTTTTTTGTTGCTGCCACATTTCAAACTAAGCAAATGCCAAGGGGCAACCGCCACAAAGGAGTGCAACGCGTTCACAAAGTGAAAAAAAAAAACCGCCAATTGGTTTTATGCAATCTCAGTCCAGCCGTCTCCAGGTCCGTCTAACCAAACCGTCGCTCTGTTTGTACAAAGGCAATTTGAAGCGCCACACTTCAGGTTAGAAGCTTGGAATATATGCATATAGCGCCGTCAAAGGGTAAACTTTTTTCAACAGTCGAGTCGCTATAGCCATGTCCAACTGTAGTTCTTAAAGTCGAAACTGAGCAGATCGGACCATTATGTCATTAAGCTGCGCTGACAAGTTCTTGCTTAACTTTTTTGTTTCTTTGTCCAAAGTAAGCATTCACGAATTCTACTCTACAACTTACATAAAGGCAGCATCTTATCAAAATCCCATAACATATAGTTCTATATTGAAATATGTTCTGTTTCCTGATCTGCAAGGAAGGTAGCCCTTTTGTTAATTATACTTTAAAAGAGTTATCAAACTGATGTGCTACTCTGCAGACTGGGCTATATTATGTCTCTTCCATGACCAAAACCCACCCACGTAAATCATAATAGTAGATCTATTCTTCAACAGTTTGAAAGTCACTGCCTTTGCGTCACAGTTTTAAGGTAACCACAACTTCCCATCGTTTTAGTAGATAATTCATTAATGAATTATAATGAAACTGTGAACAGAGTATTGCGCTGTCGGCTTTTAGTCGCGTTTTTTTTCGGGCATTGCAACATCATTAACATAATTGACTTTCATAACATTGTGTGTGTAAATATGTGCGTAAATGTGATTTTGTGTGTGGCTACCAAACAAAAACAAAAAAAAAAGGACACAAAAAAAGGAGAATACAAAAACGTGTTTCACATTTCATGCGTAAAGTGTTTATTTAATGACCTGCACACAAAATGAGCAAATGCATTCTGAATGAGCTCTGAGTATTCACTGTGCCTTTGTTTGTGTGTGTGTGTGTGTGTGTGTGTGTGTGTGTTCACATACCTTGAACCTTCTGGCACGCTTCTGGTTCGGACCAGTCAAATTTAAACCACACGAATTGCAGCGCAGACATTCCTCATGATAATGATTATTATCATAAAGCGGTGAAGGCTCTGCAAATGTAAAAAAAATCCAAATTAGAATATTTGAATAAAATTATATTTAATTAAAGTTATATACTAAAAAAGTCGCTGCTGCGTTCTGCATGAATTGCTAGATGTTTTAGGCGTTTCAGGCTCACAGCTGGCTGTACAAATTTACAGTTGCCCAAGTTTAGGATTCATTCAGATATAGATAGGTTTGTGGGATTAAAACTATTTCTTATGTTAGAATACCTTCAGATGTGTGGAATCAAACTCAAGTACAACTTTGCTGCTCAACTTTTAGAGAGCCTTAGACCATTTTATAGGCATACAAAACATGGCAACAGTCCGGGAATTGTTAATAGTTCTCCCGTTAATAAGCTTTGTTTGAGTAAGAAATTATGTGGACAGCTTTAGGTGCGTTTTATATTTGAGTTTTTGGGAAGTTTGATTGACGCTTTTTTTGTAAATAGAAACTATTTTCTTCCCTTGTAAAGTTAATAGGATTGTGCTTATGTTGAGACCTCATCCCAAAAATACCTGACTAAGAAAGTAACTAACTTTCTCTGGTATAGTTATCTGATCCAACTCAAAAGATGGTTCTTAAAAAAAGAAAGCTCATGCCGAAAGCTTTATAGCTGAGAGACTTGCTTGCCTAGCGGCCATATGGACTGGATAAATATATAATAAAAAAACAAACTTTGCTTGCTTTGCATACGTTTTATAACTTGACGCTTACAATTCCCAACTAGTTAAAGCTGCGAAAGCATTTGCAATCCTTGAGTCTATAGCCAAGTCTGCTGATGCTTAGCTGTACAGACAGCCTGCCCAGTTGGTGCTCTATACAAGCTCTGCTGGAATTGTAAATTTCATTGCAAAGTTTAATGAAATTGCTTCAAATTGTTTTCCAGCCCATTTAATGGGTTAGGTTACCTATACTATGCATGTATAGTGTGTATTTGCATTATGTATTGCCAGTTTTTGTGCGACAGTGAAATTGAAGTTGGGATAATGCATCGAATTAAATGCCCACAGAATGCAAATCAATTCAACCAACTGCTGCCGCACACACAAAGCACAGCAAAGTGCACATTGTGGTTGTCCCCGGCAGCCAGCCACAGCCAGCCAGCCAGCCAGCCAGCCAGATGGGTTGTCAGAGCGATGTGGGCGGTGGCAGCAGCAGTGGAAGCGGTGTGTGGCAGCTACAACACGCTCATTAATTTGCATAACGGCCATGCCAATGGATGGGATGGTGGCGCGGGGGAACTGGGGAACTGGCCCAGCAGCCGTCGACAGTTTGCCGAGCGAGTCAATTACAAGCGGAAATGAGTTTCTAATACAAGCAAATTGATGCCGCACAGACCAATCTACACACATGCACACACACACACACAGATACAGACACAGACACAGGCTCAGGCGGCGCCAGGAAAAGCGCAAAAATTTGCCTGTTGAGTTGATGAATGGCTGTTTGATGGGTTTTGCTTTTGGCTAGCTCTGTGTTGGGGGTGCGGGGTGCGGCGTAAGGCTTGCGGGCTGTGGGGCAAGGGCTTGCCTTAGGGGCGGTAGGCGTGTCATCAGCTGTTATCAGTGTCATAGCAATCAAGTAGCTATATATATTAATAAGCAAATACAGGCGCACACACACCCTCCTCTGTATGTGTGTGTGTGTGTGTGTGTGTGTGTGTGTGTGTCGCATTTAACGCTAGACACCGGAAATCATAATTAAATGAATCAGGCAACTGGAAACACATTATGAGCACCGCATTCAAATATACTCATGCGAATGCCACTGGCACTGGCTAAACAGTTAGCCAAATGGTCAGCAAATGGTAGGCTCTGTGCGAATTGCATCTATTCGTGAATACACTCGTGTGGAGTAGACACAATTTAAATGCTGTGCCTGGGAAGTCCCAGGTTAGGTCCAAGCACATATATACTAGCGGGTATACCCCGGCTTTGCTTGCAGTACGTTTAAGAAAGAGCCACACCTCGTACAAATCGTATGCGTTTTGACCGAGTTATGGGGGTGGGACATTTTTACCTATGTCTATATAGGATTTCTGAGGATACTAATTTCACATGAATTTTGACCAAGAATAATGTTGCCAGATTTATTTGGAAAATTGATCTAGAGGTCAAACCATGAACAAAAAGCGAAACATCGTGGAAACGTGGATGAGATTTGTCTTTAGAAGATATTTAAAGATACTTTTTGCACATGAAAGGTTTCTTCATGTCTGCCACATATGAAATAATATTATTTCTTTTAGATTTAGATTTTTTTTTAATTTGAAGCTGTTAACTTTGGCTGTGGCACACTGTGCGTATGCGTTATCTTGTAATATCATTTAAAATGTTGATAACTTCTTCAAATATGATTGTAGATAAAACTGCTTGTTAAAATAATGAAATAATATGCGCTTCGGGAATGTTTCAGTTCAATTGGTGCTTTAACTCATAAGTTGTTGCCAAAAAAAAAAGAAGAAAAACTTAAACTTATGCAATAAATGTCATAAAATGTGCCGGAGCGGAGGACGAAGGCGTTCAGCAAATTGTACTGTCAAGTGCAAGGCAGTTGCCAGGGAAATGCTTGGCCTGTGTGGTTCGAGCGGGTGTGCCAAGCTAAAAGAGCGACACAAATTACAAAATCCAAAACATAACAGAATATAGTCCAGACCAGACCAGAGCATGCCAGGCCAGAACCCAGTACCTAGCAGTGCCTAGAGGAAAGTTCAAATCATTTATGGCATCTGTGGATTATTTTTGTTGTTTCTTTTTTTTTTGTTTTTTTTGTTTTACCCCCTTTGTGCATGGCTTGCAGTGATTGCTTTTGACTTTCATTGGATGGCTTTTTGATTGGGGCACATCGGATGAGGGCCCTTATCTTTTATCTATGCACCATGCAATAACAAAAGCCATAGCTGCTCTGCTCAAAGGGGTTCGAGAGTGCAATTGCCGGCCGTTTGCAACAATATGCAGTTTATGGCGAACTAAAAAATCGTTCTCTATTCTTCGTTTCATTCTGCCTGTCTGTCGCTCATATGTTGCATATGGTAATATACGTTATGTGCAGGGTGGATAAATGTAGGCAGCATTTCCCATGAGTATCCCTAACGATATTCGAAGCTATGAGATTTGGCATGCGGCTGCGCTAATTTAGAATATAAGTATGCTGATATTAATTTGGTATTGAATGCAGCGACACGCACGAATGTCAATCAACAGCTGGAGCATTAAATCATTTGGGCAATTTGACTGAAGTCAGGTGTCTGTGATACGTAGAGCCATGAAATTTGTTAAGCAGATGTGCTGTTGCAAAAGAATTTGAATATTTCGCAACACAATTCGCATGTCTGTGCGAAAACTCCTAAATGCAAATTAAACTCACTTTGGTGCAAGCACACATAATCGCATCAGAAGGACTTGAGTTATTCGGGCAGCCCTCTGGCTAGAAACTCAAGAGTTTTATTTATTCATGAAACAAATTTGCTAATTGAAAACCAACAAAATTTTCAAAACTACCCCACACATCGCCCCTCGCTCAACACTCTACTATAAAGCGAACTTTTCGACTGCGCCATTTGCTTTTATGACAGCTACCGCAAGAAAATGAAAACTTTTGCAGCTGCAATTTGCAGTTGCCGAGCGGCGCGGGCGAACGACGTTTAAATATAAATTCATGACTTTGATAAATTACCAACTAATGACCGAGAAGAATGCCAAACTTCTCGCTTTTAGTGTATAAGCGAATGCCAACTTTTTGAGCTCCAAATTAAGCGTGCAACAGTGAAAGTGGCACGCGCAACTGCGATGTGCTGGTTCGAGTCTGCGACCCCTGCCAACTGCTATCCATTGGCAATTCCTTTGTTGAGCTGAGTGTTCAACAGTTTTCGCTTTTGTTTTCGTATACCCTGAACCTGTTCAAAATGTCGAAGAAGGAATGTTTTGGTTGTAACAGTCATGAAGTCTCGGCACTGCAAAAGCAGGAGACTTAAAATTTGACATAAATAAGCTCCTATCACATGCACCGAAACGAATGTGTATAATTTCTTTCTTGGACACACCCGCTATTTTTATAATATATCGATAAATAGTTTTTTGAAATAGTGTTTTGATCATAACTCGAGAACTACAAGAGCTAGGTGGTTCCTTTATGGTATACTCCGATTATGAATTACTATTATTTTAAATACCTTACCTATATCTTACGTTTAACATACCCATTTTTAACAATATGGAAAGGTAGAGCCTTGCGCTTAAGTATACATGCACTTTCCTTCTTCTTAGTTAAGTCCAGAAAATTTCGTGAAGATAGGACAGTAGGCAGCGAAGTTATCAGAGAATGGAAGCAATGCCGCGCGACGTTGCGTGTGTGTATACATATTTGTGTAGGAGAGCATTTGAATGCTTTTAACGGCGTGTAGGGTATCTGAAAGTCGGCCACTAGCACTCTCATTTGTTCTTTTATTTGGGCCAGGCCAAAACAATGGCTGCTTAATGGCTCGTGACTAGCAGCCAGCGTCAGTTAAAGCGTTCAAGTGCGGTGCTGCCCGAGGGGCTGGGTGAGGGGCAACGTGGCCTGACAATGCCAACAGACTGTGACTGCAATGAATTGCATTTTGGGAGCATTCTACGCCCCAACTGCCCCTACCCGCCTACCGCCCTCTAAGGCAATTTGTTTAGTGCAAAAATTGCAAATAAGAAGCTGCTGCTGCTGCTTCTTCTGCAGTTAGGGGGCGCGAGGGCGTGGCCGGTGAATACTCAAAACTTAATTGAGCGTTATTAATACCAAAACTAGTGAAATCTTAGCGCAGAGTTGCGCAAATTTAAGCGATTTCCAAGTATTCAGCATTCAGTGAATATCCCGCCGAACGCGACAGCTCTTCAGATCCTACAAATTGTTTTTTGGAAACGATTTCATTTCTTGCCATGCACACGTTTCCGGGAAAATATCAATTGGCAAATTGTCGCAGCGACAACAAAACCTAAACTCAGATTCGAGCTGTGCCCAACATTCTATTGACATT